TGCTTTAGAAGCATCTTTGCGTTCAGCTCGAGAGAGTTAATCTTATTTTCATAAGATTCTCGTTCAGTTCCAAACTTTCTTTCAACTCCAATGAATCTCTTATTCTCCTTCTCAAATTCTGCTCTTTCCATATTCAAATTCTTTTCTGCTGTCAGATATTTCTCCTTCTCTAAGTCCAGTAATTTCTTTAACTCATTCAAATCATTCTCAGACTTATGAAACTTCTCAGTTAAATTCTTTATCTCTGTATTGTTCCTTGGAGAGTTCCTCTCAGCAGTTAGTTCAATTTGAACTTTTTGGAGTTTGTTGAACAAATCTTTTTAAGATTGACTCCTTGTTTTTCTTTCTTTGTCAAATTCTACTTTGATATCATCCAAGGATTTGTTAAGTTTATCTATCTGATATTTGGATTCATCCTTAACTCTTTCTATCCTCTCTTTATGCTCCCGATTCAAAGTTTCAATACATTTCTCATTACAATAATTCTGAATTTTATAATCCACAATAATTTTTTCTAACTCGGCAATCTTCTCTTTCAACTCCTTTATAATATCTGCCATTAAAAAAATTGATCAGTTAAGGATCTATGCAGTGAAATCAATTAAAAGAAACAAGAACAGTTAAGCTCAAAAAAATAGAAAAAACACTAAAACTGAAAACACACACAAAACAGATATAAGATGATCCAAAAATAAAATCTAAACACAATTGAAAAAACACGAACAATTAGAAACCTAAAAATTAAAACTGTCCAAGTCCAAATTACACAAAACAGTTCAAATACATATGACCCAAAACAGAATCCCTTGATATGATTACAAGCTGTTACAATCCTTGATTCACAACCAAAGGGTATCTGTGCAGCTTCCTCTAGCAGTCTCTGATTGTGCTTCGTCCTGAATGACAGCAACACTTGGAAATGGAGAAGCTGGTAACAGATTCTGTGTGATTATGTCTTGAACCAAAACAATCTACTGTGAATTGCTTAAACAGCCAAGTCAAATTCTTAAATCGTTCAAACCTGATGAGCTATTAAGAAACCAGATGGTGAAATGAATTGAACAAATTGATATCCGGTCAAAGAGATTGAGCAATAAGTTGAGCGGTTTAATAAACCGGACACTTATCCAGACACTAGTCCGCTCAAGGAAAACTCAAAATCCGCTCAAGATGTGTGCGGATAACTTCTCCGCTCAAGCAAATAATCAATCTATTATTTATCCGAACACTTATCCGGTCAAGACTTCTACGGTTTATATGAACACCGGTCAAGAGATGATCAGCTTATATGAACACCGGTCAAGAGGTGATCGGTTTAGGAATAAACAGCTCAAAGACTTACCTGATTTGTGCGAATCCGGACAATTATCCGGTCAAGACTTCTACGGTTTAGCTCCTTAAACCACTGAAATGGTGTGCGGTTTAGCTTAAACCGCTCAAGAATTCTATTAATCCTCTCAAGTATCCGCTCAGGTTGTGATCGGTTTAAACTTGTCCGCTCAAGAATCCGCTGTAATGATGTGCGGTTTAGACTTGGATTAGAAACCGATTGATACTATGAAACAAACCGGAGAACAATCCGATCAAGGCTTCTGCAGTGTAATCTCTTCTCCACTTAAGCTTTTGTATGACTCCATCGATTTAGGATTTGGACGGTTTAACAAAAAATTAAGAGAACTCAAAATTAAAACCAGATCAAAAACTATCAAAAACACAAAAACAGAAAAACTTTTAAAAAAAATGGATCAAAAACACTGGTTTAAAAAAAATCAAGAACACGAAAAAATTTTAAAACACAAAATCCGATTAAATCTTGATTTAAAATGATCAAATCACAAAAGTTTGAGAATAACAAAGATTCACAATTAAATTCCGAACATTTTGATCCTGTTTTTAACACAAAAACACAAGATTTTACGAAAAAATCGGATCAAAATCTAAAAAAATGAAGAACAACAAAAAAATCCAGAAAAACTTTAATTTTTTTTTTTCACATATCTCTGATTTCTTCATCTGATTTCTTGCACACAAGCTCTGATACCAATTGTTTGTCCCTAATTCACTGATCAATCTTCATGTTAGCTTCACAACAATGGCAGATCTGGATATTGCATTAAGAACATGTATATGAATATTGAGATAAAAAGTCAATGCATTCAAAGTATAGTCAAACTCTCATATTACGTATCAAATTTACAATAAATCTCTCTCTTTTCAATTACAAAGACAACCTACTATTTATATGGTCAAACTACTAACACAAGTCAAAGTCAAACCTATCTAATAAAAGTCAAACACGATGACTTTTACAATTATAGACAATATTTAACTTTCAAGACGAATACAGTTAATACTGATTTTCAGTCCTAACAGATGTCCCATCCGTTCATGCCATAGCTTAGCTTTATCTTCGTCACTGGTATGCATACACCCATCTGTTTTCTACTCAGGGACAACATTGACCTCTTCACTAATTGGGAACATTCGATTTGTGCTCATATTACTCTGAAAAATCAGGCCTTTGTCTTGATGAAACACCTTACAGACATCCAACTGAAAGAGAAAAGACAATCTCTTTTGTTGAAGTTGCCCTATGCTGAGAAGATTGTTCTTGAGGTCTGGTACATAGTACACATCACTGATCACATATGTTGCTCCATTTAGGAATAACTTCACACTTCCTTTTCCAGCCACCATCATATTTTATTTCCCAATTTAACATAATTCGAAAAACCTGAGTCAAGATCAACAAACCTGTCTTTGTTTCTACACATGTGGTTAGAACTACCCGAATCCAAAAACCACAGCATACCTTTGTTTTTATCACTCGTATCTACCATGAGTGCAGTCTCCTCCATGTTTATCTCAGCCATGAGCATAACTTCCTCATTCTCATCAAAACCAGCGTAGTTTGCCTCCTTAGAATGAGGACATTCATAAGAATAATGTCCCAATTTGTGGCAATTATAGCATTATATCATTTTTTATTGAACGACAGTCGTCCTCTACCTTGTCCTCTTCCTCTACTGTTGAATCGGCCTCTCCCTCGTCCACGACCATTCAGACTGAGACCGGTTTCTGTCTTCAACGCTTGATCATCTTCCTTTTCAACTTACTTGAATTTCTGTTCGTGAACCATCAAGGTACTTTGTAGCTCCTCAATGGACATCTCGTCAACATTCTTTGACTCTTCAATTGAAACCACCACATAGATGTATTTGTCGGCCAGAGTTTTGAGGATATTTTCAACAATTTTGACATCAAATATCAATTCCCCGTTGATCTTTATTTGATTTGAAATTGTCAAAACCCTAACAAAGTATTTAGAGATGGTTTTGTTGGCCTTAATCTCGAGGATTTCGAAGTCACTTCGGAGCTTCTGCAACATATACCGTTTCACTCGTTCATTGCCTGCGAATCTTTGCTTCATGGAGTCCCACACCGCCTTGGAAGTCTTTCTATCCATGATCTGCTCGAAGGTGACTCGATCGATTGCTTGATAAAAGTAGTGCTTGACTTGTAAATTTTTTATATGCAATTCCTCCAATTTCTTCTTCTCAGCATCGCTTTGAGCAATTCCAACTGCCGGCTGTCTAATTCCTGGATCGATTAGGTTCCATACCTGTTTTGCATGCAACAAATTCTCCATCATCTCACTCCAGTGCTCATAATGGCCGTCGAAGATTGGTACCTTCATCTTATCATCATTCATCATTGCTACTCTCTCTTTAGTGATCGAAATTAGTTCTGATACCAATTGATAAACTAAACAATGGTATATTGCTCACACAAATTTTGATACTTTATTCAAGAGGGCAAAGTGGCTTTAAATACACTAGGAAAATAACAAATTGACAGAGAAAATAGGAACGGAAAAAAACAAAACAAAAAATTGCTAAAGACTAGGTAAACACACGTGTCAAGCCTGTTTACATAGTCAGCCTTATTTTTGAAATTCAAAAACTCCAACACGTGTGAGACTCCTTAAAATCTTTTCAATGACTCTAGTATCCTCAAGATTTTCACCATTTAATCTCATCTGGTTTACGATCGTTATTAGTCGATTGTAAATTCTTCTATCATATCAGAATCTTTCATTTTTAGGCTATTAGACTCACACCTCAGTGTTTGCAAACGGTGTTTTTACCCGATCTTCCCCTCTATAGAATTTATACAACGTATCCCAAGCTTCTTTAGATGAAACCGATGTAGAAATTCGTTCGAAGATCGTATCCTCTACAGACTGGTATATCAAGAAGGGTGCCTTCTTGTCTCTCTTACGTAAATCAATGGCTTGTTGTGCCACTGATTCAACCTGATTTGCAAACTCTACAACCCCATTCTCAACTACCCCCCATAAATCTTGTGACTTATACAAGACCTTCATTTGGATACTCCAATGATGGTAGTTTCTTCCATTTAGTTTAGGAAGACTAGGCTGTAGGATGTTGTTGTTCTGTGTAGACATTTCAGCAATCAAATTTTAGATTTTATACCTTTAACAAGAACCGTAAACGTAGCTCCAATACCAATTTGTTGTAAAAATCATATCCACAAAATGAACCCAAACTGGACAATTGTAGCGTGGTGTTATGATGCAAAACAGAGGCAATGAAAATGCAAACTTTCATTAAACAATAAAGTAAGATATTGTACATATATATATATACAAAACCAAGCATCGCAACCCTTCATCCTAATGGTTAACAGATGCTAACGGTTCCTACATAACTAACACTAACTGTCATAGGATAACTGCCATATAACTGTCTCGCTTACAATCTTAACAAAACACACAATATTCAGAAGTAGAGCGTGATGTATCGGGACACACTCTCCAATTTCGTGTAAGAAATAAGACCTGTTGGTGAGGATGGAGTTAAATGAAGACCAAGACTGAGAGTACCTTGGATATAACGAAGGATGCATCGTAATGCCTGCATGTGAGGTTCTCGTGGATCATGCATAAACAGAAAAATATGTTGTACCATATACAAGATATCAGTTCTCATAAATGTGAGATATTGAAGGGCCCGACAAGATTATGGTACAAACTAGGATCAACGAGAGGTGAACCAGAATTAGCGCTCAGTTTGGACTTTGTATCCACCAGTGAAGTAGTGGGATTGCATCATGCATGTAGACATATTGGCCTAGGCCAAGATCTCGGTCACATATTTCTTTTGAGAAAGAAAGAGGCCTTGGGTATGTTGGACTACTGAAATGCCCAAATAACAACTGAATGGGCCTAAGTCTTTCATAGCAAATTTGGAACTAAAGTGAGCCACAATGTCATGGCGTAATTGATCTGAAGATGCAGTAAGAATAATATCATCAACAATATCATCAACACACAATAAAAGATAATCCATATGATCTTTTTGCCACTAAAAAAATAAAGAGGTATTCGTTTTACTGTGAGATAACCATGCCTGATGGGCTTGCTGTAAGATTCTATATATGAACCATCAAACATGAATCAATAAGTAAATGAACGAAATCT